ATACTAAAAGTATTAGTATATATTTAATATAGTAATTATAGTTTTTACAAATGAACCCAATATATATAATGTATATGTTAAAAAACATTTCAAGTTAATTAATAATTATAATTTTATGAATTAATTTAATTAATTATATAAATTTGTTTTTAATTACATAAAATTAAAAAAAAATAGTTAGCTTTTAAAACGATTCTAATCTCAAAGACTCTCTTTAAGTATATATATTATAAGTTAAAATTTTTGTAATGTTAACAAAAAATTAAAAGTAAATATATTTATATTAAAAGTATATATATAATAATGATTATATTCTTTTGTAATATGATATAATATTTATATTATTTAAATGTAATTAATAATTTAATAATTTTTTAATTTAAATATATTAATATCATTACATTAATAATTTGAATAACCATACTTTTTAATATATTTGTCTATTTTTAATAAAAACAATTGTTTATAAAAATGGTAAAGGTTTTATTATTTTCTCTCTTTACCTGATAAAAGTGGATAAATATATAAAAAAAGGTATTAGAATCGGGTTTGGGGTAAGTACTTACGGAACTCAAATATTAATATAATCAGATTCGAATAGCAGGTACTTAAAAGATGGTACTCGAATCACAATACAGGTAATGAAATCACTATCTAAACCCAATTATAATATATCTTAATTTGATGTAACCGGATCGAGTATCTATTGGATATTTTTAATTTAATTATTTAAATAATAATAAAAAATATATAAACAGATATTAAAATCAAATTCGAGGTAGTTATTTGTGAAATTTAAATATTAACATAATTGAGTTTGAATAACAAGTACTTAAAGAAGTGATACTCAAACTTGATACAAGTAATAAAATTACTATCAAAACTCATTTCATATTTAATTATAAAATATCTTAATATAATATAATTGAATCAAATATTTTTAAGTACGTTGCAATAAGATAACCATTGTTATCCCTAGTGTAGGGAATGATACTCTCCGTTGAACTTCCCGAGTTGTCGCAGCAATAATCGCCGCGTGGCAATATCAAGACCTCGCCGTGGTAAGGGAAAAGGAAAAAGAATAAAACGAAAACAAAAATAATTTCCGCCAATGGCTTGGCAAATGCAGTGCACTGCTTCACCACCACTGGCTTCACCTCCGCCCTTTACACGGAAATGTTTGCCTCCCCGTTCTCTGTTTTTTACTCTCTCTGCCACTTGCTCTTCACGTTTCCGCCCTACTCACATGCCGTCCCTTAGGTCCGTCACTTGCTCCCTATCGGCCGTCGAATCTCCCACCTCGACGGACGGTCTCAATGATTCCAAGACCCCTCTTCTCGAAGTCAAAGGTTTGACTGCCGTGATTGCTGAGACGAAACAGGAAATCCTCAAAGGCGTTAACCTCGTCGTAAACCAAGGAGAGGTCAACAGAAATTTTTTTTCTTCTTCTAATTTTGAAGAATAAGTGAATTTAGAGCTACTTTAATTTGTATGAAGTTTCTCGTATTAGACCCAGAGTTTGAAGGAGCAAAAGAATTAATTGGTTTGTTTATTTTGATTAGATTCATGCTATAATGGGAAAGAATGGCTCCGGGAAGAGTACATTTTCTAAGGTTAGTTGTTGTTTCAATTGTATGTAAATTTTAATCTTTTTTCATATCTTGAGTAAATATTTACTAAAATCAGATTAGTGTTGGTGGAGTTTAAAAACTCGACAAATGGGTTTAAAAGCTTGTCATTTGTTCATTAAGCTATAAATGTCTGCTTAAAATTTTTCTTATTTATAATTACAACGTGGCATGTGCTTGAATTTTCCGCTGGTGCAGGATAATTATCCTACCAATATTGGTTTAAATTTGTTGAGTTGGTAAGGTGAAATCAGGTTGGTTTATGAATTGTTTATCATAAGGTCTTGATATAACTTATCCATTGTAGGTTCTTGTTGGGCATCCTGATTATGAGGTGACCGGAGGCAGTGTTGTGTTTAAAGGGGAGAATTTGCTTGACATGGAGCCAGAGGAAAGGTCTCTTGCCGGGCTTTTCATGAGTTTCCAGGCTCCAGTTGAGATCCCAGGTGTCAACAATATTGACTTCTTGCACATGGCCTACAATGCTCGAAGGAAAAAACTTGGTGAGCCGGAGCTTGGTCCACTTGAGGTATATGGACTCCCTTTTTCACCTTTACCTTGAATGAAATAACTTGCAAGTGCATTGTTGAGATTTTTTTCTTGTTCTCCCTGTTTAATCAATAACAAAACTTTTCTGGAAAGATCAAAGTTTCCCATGGCTAGGCTACTTCTATATGGTTATTTCTTCTAATTTAAAATAATTATAAGGAAAACACCATAGTCATGCTTATTTTCTTATTGATTTTAATCGTTACTTAATTTTATCTTGCAGTTCTATGCTTATATATATCCTAAACTTGATGTTGTGAACATGAAGACTGATTTCCTTAACAGAAATGTCAATGAAGGATTTAGTGGAGGTGAAAGAAAGCGCAATGAGATTTTACAGCTTGCGGTAATATGATATAATTTCTTTGGTGTTTATTGTGGATTTGTTTTGTGCGTTTCATATGTTATGCCAGTGGAATATCTTTATGTCGCTCAATAGAGGTGTCTTTGCCGTCATTTGTTGTTGACAACTTACATACCCATGGATGGTTCGTTAAATATCAAGAATATATAACATAGGCCAACTCCTTTTGGATTAGTGGTCACCAACCACTTGTTGTAGACATCATGCCCTGGGTTCAAATTCATACTGCCCTTATCCCCTAAGAGAGAAATAGTGAGTTATAATTGTGAAATTTAGAGAATATTCTATCCATCAGTTTATATCTTCAAATTGTTTGGTCCCTAATTTTTCCGAAGAGAAAAAAAAGGACTTTTACTTTGTTTATGATTTTTTTATTTGTTTCTTAGAGTCAGACACCAAGGAGTCCTAAAGTTGCTATTGTCTGTGGGCGAATATAAAATTAGCGTAGTCGTAAACTTTAATAAGAGAAAAAAGTATTCAGCAAAATTAATGCTTCTACTGAAAATGTGGTCTTAAATATCTTGGGACTCAGTTTACTTGACGTGCATAGTTATCTGGATCTTCTCTGTATTTAGCTTCTCTAGTCATTTTTTAATGTGCAGCTCTTAAAAATTTAAAAATTGAAAAAAGAAAAAAAGGATGAGTTGTAACTTGATTATTGATCCTTTCTTTTGATGGGCTTCTAAATTATTATGCCTTATTAGAAGGGGAAGAGAAAAGGGGGGGGGGGGGGGGGAGGGGGGGGGGGGGGGGGGGGGGGGGGGGGGGGGGGGGAGGGGGGGGGGGGGGGGTTATTGCTTTGTGGGTTATTCAATGCACTAGAAGCTAAGAAAATTAATTTTGTTTATCATCTCTATATTCACTTCTTAAATGTTATAGGTTCTGGGGGCAGACTTGGCTATACTAGATGAAATAGACTCTGGCTTAGATGTTGATGCCCTTCGAGATGTAGCAAAAGCAGTGAATGGGCTTTTGACTCCGAAGAACTCCGTTTTGATGATCACTCATTATCGACGGCTTTTGGAGGTTATAAAACCAACATGCATCCATATTATGGTGAGTCATTTAAAAATTCAAACCAGTGATCATGTGGATACTCTTTGCATGTTAATTTCCTTTTTCATGGGAAAGTAGTGAATATGGCTGCATGCTGTTAAGCCCCCGGGCCTAATCACAAAGCTTCTTTTCCTGGCAACATGTATGGTTGGCGCTTTTAGACATCCTTTTAGGTTTTAAAAAGATATCAAACCGTAAAATAAGTCAGTAACTGACATAATACTAAGCGGCAGCAATGTTTGGCTGAACTGTAAACTATGTGTACATTGGCTCACATCCATGATTTCTGTGATTAGCAATTTAACTTATGTTTCATAGTTCCATCTTTCTCTACTGTTTCCAATTGTTGTTAATAATGTGATGCCCTAATGGATGAGTCTATCTGATTATATTCATAGATAAACTATCATTAATCATTTTTTTGTATGCTTTGATTAGGCTTTGGAAGCATTTTGAAACAGTATTGGATGTAATAAAGTTGAGAAGTTTGTTCTGCTTAGCTTAACAGAGTTCCCTAACTTTTTTGTCTTAACCAGTTTTCGGTATGTCCGAATGTCTATAGATCTTTGCTTGTGTCTATTTTTAATACTAACTTTTGTATACTTCAGATTTGAACTTGTGTTCTTGATGTATGCTAGTATCTATCTGTTTGGCATATTACTAAAAAGAATTTGTTATCCTATGAACAAAAACAAAAATGTTTTAATTTGATGTTTTCAGGAGGATGGAAGAATCATAAAAACAGGAGATAGCTCCTTGGCCAAAGTTCTTGAGGAGAAAGGCTATACTGCAATTTCTGCTGAATAGCATACTATCGTTAATTGGTACACTCTCTGTCAACTACCATCAGTTTGATTCAAGTCAAACTTGCTATACCATTGTTGAAGCCATTTAGCTTAGTTATTTCAGCCTCTGCTCCACAGTGTTTTACATCAGCAATTGGGAAGGAATCCATGGCAGAATATCTCTCCACTGAATCAGGTTCCAACATCATCGTAAGGGAGCATGGAGCCTTAGGTGCCTGCAATGGTGCCTCGTAGGGTTTTGGTTTCCATATTTAACCTCTTGCTTTGGCATGTAAATTTGAGGGTTTCCCGCCCTTTTCCCTCATTGGGATGTGGTGTTAGGATTTTCAGAAAGACACAACTTTATTTCTATATGAGTACTGTGGGGTGTTGACCATATCTATGGTCGATGCTTTACCAGGTCTGATCTATTTTTCAGCTGAAAGTCGGGTCTGGAAATAATAACTGTAATCTGACTGTATTTGATTAAGGAGATACTTTCACAGAAATGGTTACAGTCCAATTGGAGTTACAATCCCACCGCCCCCTGAGTTCAATAACAGGTCTGACTTTCTTTACCAAGCCTTTTCCACTCTCCTTTGGGAATAGGATTTCTCCTCCAAGATTTCCAAATCAGCTTAACAGTAATATATCCATGTCTGTGGTTAATAAGGAATATAAATTTTTTATTGATTACTTTACTAAATTGTTCTATAATACTATGAGGAAGCAATACCATAAAATAACAACAGTATTTTATCACTATATAAAGGTATATTATTACTTAAAATTCATTAATTTATTTATTGAATTATTAATTTTAACTAGTAACAAAAAAATTTTGTATTGTCAAATATTCTCAAAAATTAATCTAAAGCCATTATTTTTATTTTTAATTACAATTTAATAATTCTTGTCACCAAATGAATTGAGTTTTCTTTTTTTATTGTCCTTTTTAACCATTTGGGTTTTTAAGTCAAACTAGTGTTTGTTGTCACCAACATTTGATCATATGAATATTTGTTGTCACGTAGGTGTGCATAAGAATACTTGTTTTTTTATATATTTTAAATAATAATTATAAATATTTGTAAATTATAACGTTTGAAGTGCAAATAGTTAAAATTTTTTTATACTAATTCATAAATTATTAAATAATATTAAAATTAACAATTCAATAGAAACTTGTACGACACTTTTATAAAAAAAACTTATAAATTTAATATTACGTAGAGAGTAAATCATTTACTTATAAAAGTAATTCAATATAATTATAACTCTTTTCCATCTAAAAGATGAATCATACTATATATATTAAAAAATATATAATCAAATACACATAAATTATTTTTTATGAGAGTATTGAGTAATGTAATATTTTTTTTTTATGAATCATACTATATAATAAACTAATTCAATATAATTGCTTTTTATGGGAGTATTAAGTATATGTAATTAAATTAAATATATGTTTATATATATTTGTGTATATATATATATATATCTAAATATATTAGTATGTATAAAATAATTATTTTGTATCGATTCATTTATCTTTTGTTAACTGTATTTATTAGTAATCAAAAATTATAAAAAAAAGCCTTAAAATCTTTATATTTTAATTTTATTATTGATAATAATACTAATAAATAAACAGATAATGTATTTCCCTGAAATTCCTGATTTGTCCCTTGCCGTACAAAACAGTTTTCTCTCTTTTCCACACCCAATCGTGCTCCCCTCTGCTTCCCTCTCTCAGTATTTCTTTCTACTTGCAGCCCTTTCTCTCTCTCTCTCTCTCTCGCTCTCTCTAACAGATTCAGTCGATCGAACGGCCGCCCATCACCGCCCATGACTCTGATGACGTCTCCACCATTAGATGTAACCATCCAATCTCTCACTCTTGCCTTTTTTCTCCTTTTCTTTTCTTCTATGTCGCTTCAATTCAATTTCGATCCCCAAAAGGCCCGCGTTTTTAACTGCCTCCATGCTTCTCTCAATCCAGCTTGAAAAGAAAGTTCATCATTATTTGCGAGTCCATGCTTAGACTCCTAGGGTTTTGATCAGTAGATCCGAACGCTGTCTCATTTCGTATTTCTGTTGATGTTTTTGCAGCAGGAGGACGATGAGATGTTGGTCCCACACAATGACTTCGTTGAAGGTCCTCAGCCAATGGAAGGTAAAATTTTCAATTCAATTCTTTCTTTCTTTTTTTTTTTTCGCTTTGTTTTTCATTAAACGGAAAGAGAGTTGAGTTTCACTTCAAGAAATGACGAATTCATTTCTTTTTCTTTTAAAGTTTCAACTGAATGAAATGCTACGTTTACATCATCATGCATTTTCCGTATCGCTGAGATTTTATAAAAATTTTGCTGTAATTCATGAATTTCAAGTTCTCTAATGTTTTTTAATTTTGGTTTTATATATTATTAGCGGCAGAAGCTGCAAGTACGGTAGATGCGCAGGCAGTGGATGATCCGCCATCGGGAAGGTTTACGTGGACAATTGAGAATTTCTCAAGGCTTAATACTAAGAAGCTCTACTCTGATATCTTCTTTGTTGGAGGCTACAAATGGTAGTTTGATTGATTGATTTGTGCTTGTTTGAGTTCTTGCTCTATTGTTTTCTGCATTTATCAATCAATAAGATTTGTGTTGAATTGTAATGCACAGGCGGATACTTGTTTTCCCCAAGGGTAACAATGTGGATCATTTGTCAATGTATCTTGATGTTGCGGATTCAGCAACTTTACCTTACGGATGGAGTAGATATGCACAGTTCAGCCTAGCTGTCGTCAACCAAATTCATAACAAATATACAGTTAGAAAAGGTATATCTGGGTGTACTGGCATTATAGGAGTTCAATGAACCCTTATATGGCAGTTCTATTGGCATAGTATGCTGTTCATTAACTGTTTTACATGCCCATTTGCATTCATCAAACTTTAGTGTTTATTTTATTGACAGAAAATGAGAGACGTAATTTATACTCATGTGCTCTTTTGTTGGAATATCAGCATTAACGAATGTTCATTATTGTCATCGTGCCTATTTATGAATTGTTTACTGCTCTGATTGCTAGTCTGCACATCCGTTTTTTATGTTCAAGTGGTTCTTTTTAGGAAATTGCTTAACGATCATTTTATCTAGCTTGTATGTTGCAAACATTCTGTCAAATTGTATCCAAGATTTAGCTTGAATTCAGCTTATACTTAGTGTGTCTTCTTGCATCTTTTGCTTTTTCTGATTGTTCATTTGGGAGGAGGATTTGAACCTGGGGCTGGGGCCTTCTTTCTGGAGGAGAGGAGTGACTATCAATTAGGTTATTCCTTATTTGCATTGGATACCTTTTGAATAAGCTGACTTCTTTTTGGCTGTTTGGAAGTGGAGTTCACTTTAGTATGTTGAAGAATAATGGGTCTTGGGGCTCTGTCACCCGAAGCTCATTGACTATTCAAGAAATGTTTGGTTCTGATTTTTTTGGCTCGCATAATGCTGATATATGGAACCCATTGACGGTTGGTTTGCCTTGTTTGTGGATTTTCTTCTGTTTAAGAAAATATACGTTGAATGCAGTTCATATATGAAAAATTAATTGTCCAATGAAATGGTTAACAAAAGTTTGAGAGAAATTTTAGGTTTTATTGGTATACATGTTATCTTGCTTTTATAACTTTGTCATAAATCTATCTGCACCTGACAATATTTGAATAAGTGTGTATAAAGTCAGGCAAAGTTTACTGCATAAGAGTGCAAAATAAATTTAGTGAAATTTTGGTAAAGAAGATTCTTTTGTAACTATGCCGCTGAAAGTAGGGAATGAAAAAGGTAGTTTGAAGCTAAAATTTTTAGATGATCCTGAAAAATCTAATGATATTGTGAAATTTTATGTTATCATGACCCACAAGATCAAATAGATGGGTGGCATTTTACTCATGAGAGATTTCGTAATGTGAAATGTATGATAGATATGTCTAGAATCTAATTGTTTTCATTTGGGAAGTGGAGAAATGTTCATTTCTATGGAAGCCTGCTCTCTTGTATCAATGTCCAGTTTTATTTTAGCCAGCATTTGGGTTTTTATTTTTTTGAAACAATGGGCTGACTGTTGTTAATAGCAGTTTATATTTAGGTGAACTATGGTATGATCTTCACATGGAAACTGTATTTGTAGAAGAGTAGATCTTAAAAGATTCTATTTCTTGTTTTCTTAAATAATATAGAAATATAGAATGATTTGATTTACTGGGACTAGTTTGAAATTAAAAGTTTGCCTATTTTGGAAATTTAGTTGAGTCTAGGCTTTCTAGGAGTTTCTAAAGCATTAATGTATATTTTCATCAGTTGTAGCATAATCGTTGTATGTTTATTAGTTAGCTTCTTATTTAGAAGCCTAATTGTAGAGAGTTGAGGGTATACTTTAAGTTTTTAATTTTCACATTCTTAGGGGGCATCTAGTTTTGAAATTATGAGCATTTGCTTTTGGGAAATGCTTGTCTAAATTTATTTTGTTACTGTTTACAGCCTTAAAATAGCCCCAAGTTTCTCACTTTGCTAGACATGTTCCATTTGAAGTTCCTTCTTATCATCAATTTTAAATCCCAAGTCAACATAGGTTTCCTAGTGATTTTCTTACCAATTTAGCCACCCAAAATAAAATGTTTTCTTGTTCCAGAAAATTTGAGGAACCAAATTCCTTAAGTCCAGCCCCTTTTTCGGCATTAAACTGAACACAATATGAAACCCTTGTCCAAGTTAGATTATGGTTAGTTACTGTAACTAACTCAATACAGAGCCCTGTAGATATACTCCTCGAAATCTGTTTCGAGAACAGTTTGGCATCAAGCCAAAGCAGTTCTCCACATTTTTACTTTATATCCTCTTCTTTATTGGTCTTTTGTTCACCATAGTTACAACTTACAATACACACTTTTTCAATTTTCCCCCATATGGTAAAAGATGATACATGCTTACTTTGTTGTAACAATTATGAGTATCTGTTAGACCGTCCAGAGTTAGAAGGACCTCCTGTTTCTAAATTCCATTATGAAGAAAAATATCTGAGGGAAAATTGCTAGACTAATTGTTGAAAATCATGCAGAAGTTCTACAGCAGCTAGATGAGCTCAGTATTAAAGTTCTAGAGTAGGTGATATCCCAGGTGAACGTCAAGAAAAATTGTCTGAAGAAAGGCTAGAATGACCAAGTTTTTGGCCATTAAAGCTTGGGAGTCTAAAACATTTTTGGGAATAGATGATAGAGAATGGAATAAAGAAAGGCAAGATTAGCATGGAACCTTAAAAATTTTGGGTCAAGAATAGAGATATTATTGGAATTCAAAAATGCATGTTTGAAGATTATTCCAACAATTGATTTCTTAATTGTGGATAAGAGTGTGATAAAATGGGTCAGGTTTTTCTATAATATGTAATTCAGCCAAGAAAGTGGAGGTGGATCAATTTCAAAAATGAGCTTTCACTATAACAATGCACTCTTAAAGATGCCGATGAGTTACGTGATATTCAGTGGTAGAAAATTTTGGCTTCTTAAAAATTATCACGGTATCCACTTGTTGGATTTTTCATTATTATGTAGGCTTAAATTTGTGTGATTGACACTCTTTATCTCTCTTTGTAGATACACAGCATCAGTTTAATTCGCGTGAAAGTGATTGGGGCTTCACTTCGTTCATGCCTCTTGGTGAATTATATGACCCTAGTAGAGGTTTTCTTGTGAATGACACATGCATAGTAGAAGCTGATGTTGCTGCCCGTAGGGTTGATGATTATTGGTTACATGACTCGAAAAAGGAGACTGGTTATGTTGGACTCAAGAATCAGGGAGCCACCTGCTACATGAACTCTCTCTTGCAAACACTCTATCATATTCCCTACTTTAGAAAGGTTAGCATATTTTTTTTTTCTTACATGCCTCACAGATAAAATTCTCATGGAAGTTCAATGTTTGAACTATACATTGCAGGCTGTGTATCATATGCCAACCACTGAAAACGACATGCCCTCAGGGAGCATTCCTTTGGCTTTGCAGAGTCTATTTTATAAGCTTCAGTATAGTGACACTAGTGTGGCTACCAAGGAGTTGACGAAATCTTTTGGATGGGATACATATGATTCTTTCATGCAGCATGATGTTCAGGAACTTAACAGGGTTCTTTGTGAAAAGCTTGAAGACAAAATGAAGGTATAGGAGTTTTCTATGATTAGTAGTTTGTGATTGATTGCTTCTAAGTATGTTCACAGGGTTTCTGAAAATCTCTCTTTCTTCTTCTTTTCGTTTTCACATTAATTTTTAAAAAAAACTCAGGGAACAGTTGTGGAGGGTACAATACAGCAGTTGTTTGAAGGGCATCATATGAATTATATTGAATGCATCAATGTGGACTACAAGTCAACGAGAAAGGAATCATTTTATGGTACAGTTTTTATGGTTACAATGGATGACTAGATTATAAAAGATTGATTTTGTGGGCCTTATGAATTTGATACAATTATTTGTAGATCTTCAGCTTGATGTCAAAGGCTGTAAGGATGTCTATGCTTCTTTTGACAAATATGTTGAAGTGGAGCGTCTTGAGGGTGACAATAGGTATCATGCCGAACAGTATGGTTTACAGGTGAGATGCCTTCGAGAAATCCATCAATTCAACTTGCTTACATGGAAATTTAGAACTCAATACTAGGATTTTACATTTTCGAAAAACTGTGAAGGACTTGAATAAGTTGATTTATATCTGCTTGTCTTTGGATGGCTGTTGCTGTCTTTTTCATTGGATTTCGTTATTTAAATATGGTTGGGAATCTTTCATGGTCTTAATTTGGGATTTCTTGTCTATAGAGATATGGTTTTCTTGACATGGACTACTAAACTGAATGTTCTATACGTGTCTTAGTATCTTTGCTTAAATGTTCTGTCTAAAGATAACGGTAAAAGAAATTTTGTGATTTTGGGATTTTTCCAGGATGCTAGGAAAGGTGTTCTCTTCATGGACTTTCCTCCTGTCCTTCAACTTCAGTTAAAACGTTTTGAGTATGATTTCATGCGGGATACTATGGTAAAGGTTAGTAGCTGATAGACAACTCCATATACTGTTTATATATTTCTGCTGCTGTTATGAGTGCCATTCTTGTCTTGTTCCAATTAGTTTGTTAAAGTTACTCTGAAGCATGTACTATAGCTTCTAGAACTCTAAGCACATTTCATTACCCAAACTAGGATAAGGCTCCATTTAAAGCTGATTTAAGATGGTGTTCCGTTTAATGAATGTTAGTGGCTTTCTATTTTTCTGGTTTGCAGGCTTTTCTTTTTTTGTATAAATTTATGTAATTTTGGTTCATGAAAGACTTAGAAGGATGATTTCTTATGATAGTTTGAAGTTTATCTTCCCCTTCTGAGAAGTTGTTCAATCTCAATGGTTATCTGTAAACATTCTGTGATTACCATAATATGTTTATGTGAGAATTTACTTCTAAAAGTTATATTGGAACTTCTTTTTCAAATTATATTTGGAATATCTTTCTTTATTTCTAAATAAAGTGAAAATATCTGAATTTTGTCTTCTCTGTTAATGTAAGAATATATAGAAGAAAATTTTGAATTTCCTGAAGTATTTCTATGTTGAAAGTAATATTTTCCCTTCTTAAATGATTTAGCCCCGAGTTGTTTCTAATGCTCAATGCTATTGAATGGTACATAGGTAACTTATTTTTCAAGTATATTAGTGCAGATTCATGTAATGAATATCATGCAGGCTGCAGCTTTTATGGATGGTTGGTGTGGAGGAACATGTGTATTATTTGCACGGGGTTCTTTTAGCAACTTTCTACTTTATTTTACAAGTTAATGGGAATGGTTTATATATTTTCTGAGACCATTTTTCTGTTTTCTTATAAGTACAAATAGTAATATGTAAAACTCCCGAATGTTACATAGGTAACTTATTTTTCAAGTATATTAGTGCAGATCCATGTAGAGAATATCATGTAGGCTTTAGCTTTGATAGATGGTTGGTGTGAAGGAACACTTGTAATATTTGCATGGGGTTCTTTTTGACGTAGAACGTCTAGTAGATAATTTCTTGGAGCAGGCTGGGCGTCAAGAGCTAAGATGAATAGCCCAAAAGCCATAAATGGGCATGTTCATAATTTTAATATTTTCCTTGTTTGTTAGGAGTCTACATAGGAATTATAGGTATAATAGAATTTCCTTTTTATTTAATTTACTTGTACTAGGACTTTAGGATAGGGATTTTCAGTTAGGAATTAAATCTCTTGTTAACTACTCTAGTTGTACTAGACAACCAGAAGTAGAGTTTTATTAGGATTAAGGGCTATAATGTTATAAATAGGACCCTTAAGCTTAGTTTTTAGGATCATCGAATAATATTTCTAAGTTCTTCTCTCAAACTTGAGTTTAAAGTTTTAATATTTGAAACTGGGTTATTAACCTTAAAGGCATAGTTAGGTGCTACCCTTTATTTCGATGCTAACTCGCTGCATCACTTTTAGCATTTTTTTACTTTACTTTACAAGTTAATGGGAATGGTTTATATATTTTCTGAGACCATTGTTCTGTTTTCTTATAAGCACAAATAGTAATATGTAAAACTCCCGGCCTTTGCTAGAGATCATTGCTTTCAACATAAATGATTTTTTGACTATATGAATATTATTAGGTAGCATATTGACTCCCATTTTTCACATGGGTCCCCATGATATTTGTCTACAATTGAATAGTCAAAAGCATTAAGTTTTCACGTTGCTTGTATTTTCCTTTACTATGACAATCAAATGTTTGCAATTTATGTAAAGCATGCTTCTGGAAAAGAACCTAAAGGAGCGTTGTCTTAAATTTTTTACCTCTTCTTAAAACAGTGATATAATAAACCAAGATACAAATTATGATACCGTCAGAGTTTATCAGAGTTTGTAAGCTTATAATTTGTGTATTAAAGTGGGAGAGAGATGATGTAAGATAAATTTGTTAGCGCATCATAGATTGGAAATTTGAGAGAATAGGTTTTTAAAGGATTTATTTGAACATGAAAGCTTGCATAAATGCTATTGGGCTCTTTCTGTTTTGTTATCTTATGCGTGTGTGCGCGTGTGCATTTGTATGCATTTGTCTCAAATCTGTCATCTTTAATCTCTATATCTGCAGATTCATTTCTTTAATAAGTTTGTATTTTAATAATATTTTTTGTCACAGATAAATGATCGCTATGAGTTCCCCTTGCAACTTGATCTAGATAGGGAGAATGGCAAGTATTTATCACCTGAGGCAGATAGAAGTGTTCGCAACCTTTATACTCTTCACAGGTATTCAGTTTGACATGCAGTAATTATCATATTGTTTTCTGGAACAACTGCCTTCTTGTCCTCCCTTGATTGGAAGAGACTCTCATAATTCAAGAAAGTTTCAAAGAAAAGTAAATTTCTAGAAATTTAAATCAGTTTTCAACCACAAATACTAGGCCATTCAATCAATCAGTCATGTTTCTTGATATAATGTTAACTAAAATCTAATTAATTATGTAAAATATGTAGAAGTCCCGTTCAATCAGATCTCAATGATTTATGGAATTCGTTAATGTGCATGCAACAAGTTTTAAGAGCAAGAACGACAACGTGAAATATAAGAATTCTCTAAATTACAAGGTTTTTTTTTTGATAAGCAAAATAGTCCTGGTTAACCCAAAGAATTATGAGTATTTTAATAAATTTTTAATTAGCTCCAGTTTACTAAAATCCTGCTTTAACTTGAACTCTTAAGAAAAATCAGATTACTCTAACCCTACCTTAAGCAACAGAAAAGATAATTTCATCTTATAAATCGCGTCTCTTCCCAGAACTGATATAATTACCAAAATAATCTTCATTTGCTGAAGAAAAGTGTTGATTTCAAGTCCAAAAGTAATTTGTTTGCTTTTCTTCATTTGGACCACTCGTAACAGATGAGTAGTTATGTCAGTTATTGTCGTTATTGGCTAATTGATAGTCTATTCATACTTTCATTGATCAGATTGGTAATTGCATTGTGTTAAACTTGTTTTGGTTTGTGAGCATGGCCATTATTTCTTTTGTGGTTTCTTTATTTTCTTTTGGCCCTATTCTGCTGGAACCTGGCTTTCTGTTGGTTATAAATTTTATTTCATCGTCATCATCATCATCATCATCATCATCACCATCATCATCATTTCCACCACCACCACCACCAATTTTGGGATAAGTGAAGAAACAAAGGCACAAAAACCCAGCTCTAAGGGGCGCCATCATCGTCATTATAACAATTAGTTATTAGGTTTTGTTGGTTGCCTGATATTAAGAAGTATTATTTGTTGTTCATTAGTTAATGAAGTTGGTTTTATATTGTGTCATTGTCATGACCATCATCATCATCACCACCATTTTTTGGGATAAGTGAAGAAACAAAATCATAAAAAGCCACCTCTAAGGTGCCATCATCATCATTATAACAATTAATTGTTTGGTTCTGTTGGTTACTTGATGTTAAGAAGCATTACTCGTTCATTCATTCAATGAAGTTGGCTATCACTAAAAATTGTCTGTTGCCTTGTATAAATGTGTGCTTGTTTCAACTGATGATAAGTGCATTTCAGTTATCTTTATGGATATTATAATTATAATTTAGGTTAGCAATAATAATTTATGCTAATATGTTAAGCCAATAGTTGAGTTGGTTTCCTTGGATTTGGTTGAGGCCAATTCAGTAATTTATTAAATAATGAAATAAGTAGTAACAAAAATGTCAATATAAGAATATAGTGGTATTTTAATGATTAAGTTGTGCAAATAGAGATTTATTTTTTGCCTTTATGTTATTCTTTGTGCTAAAGTTTTCTCCATCTTTTTCTCTTAATTTAACTGCTTATTTAAAAATATATAAACCATTCTATTAATACACTCACAAGGATGAGTGTGCAAGAGGATAGTAGTAACATAATCATAATTCTGTAACATTGTATGCAGTGTTTTGGTTCACAGTGGTGGGGTGCATGGTGGACACTACTATGCTTATATCAGGCCAACCCTGTCAGATCAGTGGTACCTATCATGTTTCATAAATTTCTGGAAGCCAAACTTATATGCTGATTGCCTGTCGTTATTTTCCTGTTTTTTCACATGGTCGCTTTAGTGCTCACTGAAATTGGTCATCTAGGTTTAAGTTTGATGATGAACGAGTGACAAAAGAAGACATGAAAAGGGCATTGGAGGAGCAATATGGTGGTGAAGAAGAGGTACTAGTCTCTGGTTATTGCTTGTCACAATTGATTTTTCTTTTATGCAATTTATTTTTTTCAGTTGATACTTTTTATCTTTCCTGCTTCGTTTCAACAGTTACCACAGACAAATCCTGGGTTCAACAACACCCCATTTAAATTTACCAAATATTCAAATGCATATATGCTTGTGTATATACGAGAAAGTGACAAAGACAAAATAATCTGTAATGTGGATGAGAAGGACATTGCTGAACACCTGAGAGTAAGATGGCTGCTGATTCTTGTTAATAGTAATTTATATTTGCAATCCTGTTTATGTTCGCTGCAAAGCGTTGCTGTGTGCTATGAACATCACATTTCAGATAAGATTGAAGAAAGAGCAAGAAGAAAAGGAGCAAAAGAGAAAGGAAAAAGCAGAGGCACATCTCTATACTGTTATAAAGGTACACGCACAATTTCTCTTAGGCCTCTCCCTCCTTTCTCTCTCTCTCGGTCTCTCTCTAATATATGGTTTCTGATTCCATTTTCCTATGCCCTTAGGTTGCACGTGATGAGGACCTAGTTAAACAGATTGGAAGGGATATATACTTTGATCTTGTGGATCATGAGAAAGTCCGTAGCTTTCGTATTCAGAAACAGACGCCTTTTAATGTTTTCAAGGTACTTAAATATCATGTTAGATTTTCTGTTGAAATTTTTGTTCAGGTTCTGGTTAGCAAGATCAGACTCAGCTTTCTGGAAATTGCTAAATTGCAAATTATTAGTCAAACTTTTTCAATTATTTGAATTCCTGTATAAAGTGATCTAATAAAGAAGACTGTGTATGTCTTTTCTGTTTTTCTTTTCTTTTCTTTCTTTGACTTGTTTTAGTTAATTGTCTGGTACTTAAAAAAGAAAGTGAAAAGTAATACCATGTTTCTTGTTCTCAATGATTCCTTTTGATTTTTCTTTTTCCTTTTACTTTCTTAACAATGGGTGATTTCCTGATACTTTTCCTGTATGTATGGGATTGTGGCCATACGGATCTTCTAGTGTTTTGTTCAACATAATTTTACTTTTGGGGAGCAAACTAATTCTAACTAAGATGGATCAATTTTCATGTCAACATAGGCAAAGAAATGACAAGACCCATTTAGTAACCATTTTCATTCATTTTCTCATTACCATTGAGGAAATGGATTATGACAAGTTTATTTTTAGTGGAATCTATTGTATCATAACCCTAAACACTGGTATGTCTCCTTGCTAATTCTTTTCATTGATTGAACATTTTCTGCCATTACTCAGGTTCTTTGTAGGATGCTGATATGTTAACATTTACTGCCATAACATATTAACCAAAGGCATTTGTGATGCAAACCATAAAGGATACTGATATGTTAAGTAAGGGTTGTTCTGTAATATTCCCAGCTTCATGTTTTCAGAGATTTAGCCTTTTTCTTTTCAAATACGAGAAACATGAAACATGTGTTGCGTGCCGACGTGTTAGTGATGTGACATCATGTGGTTGGTTATAGTTTTTTCTTTTTTTAATTATTTTTTACTTTTCTCTTTCTTCGCTTCTCTTAAACTTATTTTTGTTTTTCATCTTTCTTCATTACTCTAGAAAACATTTTTTCCCACTTCCTCTAGCACACACTTTTTGCTTCTTTATCTTACTGCTGCTTTTCATGGCTGATGGCTTAGCAGTATTGTTTCACTCATTTCCTCCCATTCTTTTCTTTCTTTTCCTCCTTTCTCTCACTCACACTCTTAACATATTTGAATAAATAATACAGTCAAAAAGTGATAAGAACCCAAAGTCGACGCTTAATTTCTTTGATTCAAAACTCAGTAATGGAGATTAATCTCAGTCATTTTGTACAAGTTTTGAGTTTTGGTTTAATTGAGAATTAGTCAAACACCAAAGAGTACAAAGCCAAACACCCTTGGAACTCACTATTCCCAAAATCCTCAAATCCAACACCAAATAAACTAAAAATTGAATCGAATGCCTAGGAATCATGTTAAGCCATCAAATCAGTATTATATTTATGCTTAATGGAAATCAATGAAAGAGAAGGGAATTTTAGGGATTTTATAGAGCTAGGAAAGGCTTGGTTCCACCAAGGGAGTGCGGGAAGCAGGGGAAGAGGGTAAAGAAAAAGAAAATAAGTAAAAGGGTTGACTGGCCGGTAGATTCTTGCTAGTGACGGATCCTCAATGACTTGAGTGGTGTGGGTTGTGATGACCGAGCGAAAGCAGATAAAGATGGAGAGAAGGAGAAGGATGCACAATACTTTTTCACTGCTTTTGTTTTCAGTCGTTTCTGATCAAGCAGTTAAAAGGATTCATATAGTTCTAACTGCTTTACCAATAACCATGTGATGATGTCAATTAAAAGTTTTGTTGGATTTCTGCATGTGCTTGGTCTTAGTTAGTGCCACTAAAATGCAGGTGTTTTCTCTCTTGCTGGTTGTTAAAATTAGTTGGATGGTATGCTTTTCAGTTATATATCTTCTTGTTTGTTTCTTATATTGTATTTTGTATTTGTAATGATATTTTTCTGTCTTGACTCCAACGTAAATTTTTTATTTCTAATATTGAAGTCCATGCCCAGTAAAAGTTTCTTGACTCTTAACATCCTAATATTTACTTCTCAGGAAGAAGTTGCTAAAGAGTTTGGTGTTCCTGTGCAATATCAACGTTTTTGGTTGTGGGCAAAGCGTCAAAACCATACATACCGTCCAAATCGACCATTAACCCCTCAGGAGGAAGCACAGTTAGTAAGTGACTTTTGATTTCTTAACCTGTCGCATATTTATGGTCTATGGCCCTGCTGGTGAACATCATCTTTGGAAAAACTGTTTGAAATAATCAATTTAAATTCTATAGTTCTGTCAGTTGTTTTGTTTTGCTTCTTTGTCAACTTAAAATTTTTAGTGGCAGTCTTAATAATGTGTTAAATTTGACGTTTCATTGCATTATGTAAATTGTGAGCGATTATAAAATGGTTATGGAGCACCTCCTGCGACTATGTCATGTTTGTGACAGCCAATGATAGAGGTCTTGCCCTGGTGGGGAAGGGGCAGTGATGTTATCTAGGGTGATGGAGTAGGTGTGAATATTCCGAAAGTGAAGCTTAGGTTCTTTTTGGTTTGCTGCTTGTAAGAACATAATCCTTGTGTCTTTGGGGTTGTGGCAGTTGGTTTTATATTTGTGAAAGGAGTTCCCAAAAGTGACCAAAATAAGGGTTACCTGAATATGTTTGGTAGAAAATATTTTTAAGAGCTCATGCTCTTTTCTGTTGTTCCATTGACCTTTGATCTAATTTGGGACCATGAATTGAAGGATGGCCATTGCCACTGACAAGATTTATTGTAGCATTAACTCACGAGTATTTGAGTGAATTCTGGATTTGGATTGAGTTATGTAAAGATATGGTTGATTGTATAATAAGATTCATATACATATTGCTAGTCCTTAATAACGGGTAACATTTGTAGTAAACCCTTCTCTTTCCAGGTTGCCTGCAGGCATAGGATTTGGTTGTCCACCCACTTTATCTGCTTTGTATTTTTGTTGTTTGTTATCTTAGTACAGTATTTGATGTATAATGTGATCTCTTTGTAATAAACTTCCATTTCTCAAGGTTGGACAACTGAGAGAGGTTTCAAATAAGGCAAATAATGCAGAGCTGAAGTTGTTCCTGGAAGTGGAGCTTGGGCAGGTACCTATTTGATAATCTAAACAATAGATAAAAGTATTCAACAATAAAAGTAAGGTCCTAGGGGGAGTAATTGGCTTACATTTGGCAGCCCATTTGGTGGCTAATTAGGTGTCAAAGCCTTACGGTAAGCCATTAAGGAATGAAAAAAAGGGAAGAAATAGGGAAAAGAAGAAGAAAAGGTAAAAGGGAAACGAACTAAATGACATAATAAACATTCTTATTAAATAAAAATAAAATAAAAGCGTGGCATAAAAAGATACATTTAATAAAATGAAATAAGTATATGATTATATAATATATTTAAATTAGTATTATATAATTGATAAAATCATATATATATTTTTAAATAAAAGCATATCAATCAACTATTAATTTCATGACAACAAACAATAAAAATATAAAATTAATGTTAATTAATTACAATGTAAATGTTAAAATTGATTTAAACTTCTTGTTTTTATTCTTAGGGAAGCAAATTCTTTTATTGATTTATGGACAATGTAATATGCTTATATGTTTATTTAAATGGATTATATATTCTATTTCATACTATTATTTTTATAATTTCAAAAATAAAGAAATGAAAGTGAAAGAAATGTAAAAAAAAAAAAACTTGATTAAATAAAAAGAAACAAGATTAAATAATAGATTTGAAATGTTAAATATTTTATATGTAATATACTTATGAAGTGATATGATGCATGAACATTGTATTCATGCGTGGTTTCATTTTTTTAAAAAAAATTTGAATATAACTTTTGAGGATGAGATTTGAAACCAGCCCTTTGATAAGGGAGATGCATACACTTATCGTTAAACAAAATGCTTAAGTTCTAATTTCATACTATTAACTGTATATAAAAGTTAATTTGAGAGACTTAACTAGTTATATCAGCAATAATAACATTATTATGAACAAAAAATAAAAATCTTTAATTAATGTTAATTACTAATATATAAATGTTGTAATGATTTTTATGGTATATTAATATTAGCACATACTAAGATATGTAGAAAGGAGAATATGTATATTTTCAAAAACTAAAACTAATTTAATTAAAAAATTTTGCACCCACAGCAACACGCAGGCAAAATTCTAGGGTTTTTTTTTTTTATTTTTTATTTTGGCTTGCCTGAAGCTCTTTGTTGCTGTGATAAACCTTTATTTTTGACTGATCTCTACCATTATCCAGGATTTGCGGCCAGTTCCTCCACCTGAGAGGACTAAAGAAGATATTCTTCTTTTCTTTAAACACTATGACTGTATTAACGAGGAGCTCCGGTAATTCCCATCTCCTGCTTTTCCTTGGAGTGGAATTTTTGTGACTACTAACGCTTTTACTTCTGTGATGTTAGTTATGTCGGGAGGATGTATGTGAGGAGTGCTGGCAAGCCAATGGAAATACTAGCAAGGATCAACAAAATGGCTGGCTTTGGTCCTGATGAAGAGATTGAACTTTATGAGGTTGTCTATCCAGAATGTGGTTATTATGTCTTGCATGCATCTGGTTTCAAAATCAATTTTATATGCACCACATCTCACTTATGTGTTCTATTTACAGGAAATAAAATTTGACCCCAATGTCATGTGCGAACACATTGACAAGAAGCTCACATTCCGTACCAGTCAGGTGTGATATATCAATGATTAATTACAGTGATATCTTTCATAAGTTTGCAGGCCTGTCATAGATCACTTTTGTACCTTTTAGTCAATTATATGTACGCTAGTTTTTGAATAACTTTTCAGTTCTAATTTTTTGTAAGATTTTATTTTCTATGTTATTTTCTGTCCTTCTGAACATATGTTCTAACTACAGCTTGAGGATGGGGATATTTTATGCTTCCAAAATCCATCTGAAATTGGAAGCGAACAATGCCGTAATCCTGATGTTCCTTCATTTCTGGAGTATGTGCATAACCGTCAGGTATAGGATCAATCTTCTTGGTAGGAGGATTAATTCTTCGAAATCATGTTCTTACTACATGAAGAGTGACAATTTGACAAGGTTCTAATTTTCCTTTTCTAGGCTGCAGCATTTTTTTTTAATGTTTTCTCTTGTGATAAGGATATGGGTTGAGTATTTTTGGTGATGTTGACAGCATAGTTTAACTTGCAGCAAAAATGATTAGCCATAGTTTTTTATTTCGTAGGGAGGAAAAAAAACTGCACTGTGGGTTATCTCTTTGTGAGACATTTCTAAATCCTTTATAATTTTTTTTCCCTCACATTGATGGAATTTTAGAAAGTGGGAAGATTTTGAGGTGCTATGTGGTTAAATGAACTAGCTTTTGTGGAATCATTTCATCTGTAATATCTATTTTAAATCTAGAAGTTGAAGAATTTAGTGACTGATACCTTCTGGAGGTCTGTGATTTTAATTCAAACCCCATTATATTGTACATATTTTACATTTAAGTTTAATTGTGGCCTTTTATTCTCAAAATAAGTTTTTATTCAAATTGATCATATGCAGGTTGTTCGGTTTCGATCTTTAGAAAAGCCAAAGGAGGATGAATTTACTCTTGAGTTGTAAGTTTGTCCTATCACTAAGCTTCACAATTTTTTAGTGGGTATCTTCTGAAGTGATTTTAATGAGTTTTATTGAATTTCTGCTTTATGATTGTTCATGCTCTTGGTATCATATGTCTAGGTCAAAGCTTCACAATTATGATGATGTTGTTGAAAGGGTCGCTCAACATCTTGGCTTGGATGATCCTTCCAAAATTAGGCTTACATCCCATAACTGTTATTCCCAGCAACCTAAACCCCAACCTATCAAGTACCGAGGAGTGGAACACCTGTTGGACATGCTGGTTCACTACAATCAGGTTTTACTGGCCACCAATTACGATTCTGTTTGATATTAGTCATCGTTCCTTTAATATTTTTCAATCTATTATGAAAATTTTGATTATTCCTGAAACAATGCATGTTTCTGTTTTTCGTAGACTTCTGATATTCTGTATTATGAAGTATTGGATATCCCTTTGCCAGAACTCCAAGGCCTCAAAACATTGAAAGTTGCGTTTCATCATGCTACCAAAGATGAAGTGAGTGCAGATTATGAAATTAAATGTTTCAATTATTATTTATTTCAAAGTGTATTGCCATGTTTTGTTCCTCTCATAGATTGTTTGTTTATCCTCAGGTAGTGATTCACACTATTAGATTGCCAAAGCAGAGCACTGTAGGGGATGTTCTTGATGACCTCAAGACAAAGGTATTTATTGCAACTTTGATTTAGCCACTCCTGAAATTTCTTCTTCAAAATATAAATAACGTGAAACCATGCCTTAAATCAATATGAATTAGATTTAACGATCATTTTACCTTCTAGAGAAAGAACTTTCATTCCACTGCTGATATGTGGCACGAGTGCAGGTCCCTTATCATACTGTCATACTTAAATCGGATATGGACTCATTACCAAATTCTGGACTACGTGCATGCAGTGCCCTTTTAATGATATGATATCAGTTTGCAATTCTGAAATTTCTAAGAAGAATGATAACTTGCAGTTTCTTATGTGCCTGCATAGACAGGTATCTGTGCAGAGGACATAGAGAAGACAAAAATATTGCTTTTGTTACAATATTTTTCTTTCTGGTATTCTAACATAAATATTGTTGGATACCTTGATATTCCAATTTTAAGAGCTGTTGTCTTTTTGGTTTGCTCTAACTGACATGACAAAATGCTTCAAGGCTTTTCCTTGTTTCAGAAGTTCAAACAGGGAAATGATACGAAAAACCAACCTAAGCTTTTCCCGTTATCTGGGGCTTTTCTACTTGGACTGGACATGGTTGTCTTCTTTATCACCATATCCTCATTGATATTGGTGAAATTAAGGTTCCTTTAATAGTTTCCACTCGTGCCTTTTTGGTTTTTTCTCAGCCTTTTTCGACTTCCATAATTCCCTGTCTTTCCCCTAGATTTGAACTGCAGACCTCTAAGTTACCTAAACCCTTTAGTGTTTTAAAAGAGCCACCTCCCTCCTTGATCATTGATCAAGTTGGCCAATTATTTATCATTTGCGGGGTCCACTGCTATGCCATTTAAAAGGAAGACTTTTTTTTTGGGGGTGAATAGTCCCATGTATATCTTGCCCTTATGCAAATACCTCAAGGTACCATTTTTAAGAAAGTAAAATAAAACTCTCATTTTCTTTTTCTCTCTTTCTCCAGTCATGTTACCCTCTCTTCACCTGGTACCCAAGGAAGTTTTCTCCTCAGTTCTCTTCTTGTATCGGTTTCTTTCTCTTCCAACATCACTACCCCTCCTTTTTGTTTCCCCTTTTCTCTTCCTATTTCCCTTCTCAGCGTCTTCTTTGCATCTCTCTCTAGCATGGCTGAGGAAAGTGAAGAAAGAAAAATGCTGAAAATAGTGAATAAGAAAGCTCTGGTTAGGGTACCAATTTGGCCCAAATTGTGGTGTTATCTCCTCAGCAAGTCTGGTGATCTGACACAGATCCCATACCCACATCAGTTTTTAGCAGTTTCAACATCTGTACACCAAATGTCATCCAAGCAAGATAATATTTTTGTTTGATATAAACCCTGTTGGTGATTAATAGAGGACCTTGTGAAATTTTGGTTTGCTACAACTGAAATTACATAATTCTATGAGGCATTTCCTGCTTTGAAAGTTGAAAAGACTGAGAAGGTAACAGGAAATAAGTGGAAAGGATTTCTACTAGTGTAGTGGTGTGGAGGGTTTGTATTAAGATTCATTTTGGACTGAGTGTTTTCCTTTTCTTTAATGGCTTAAGTTCTTCACCCACCCACCAATGGACCCTTTTCTTGTCTTTTTGGCACCAATATGCTAATGGTTTTATGGAAAATTGTAGAAGGCCAAATTGTTTCTTGTTGAGTTTTTGGTGACAAAGATTTGTTTGTTGCTTTATTTATGGTTTTGGAGTAAAGGTAATAAATGACATGAAACATACAGCTTATTAAGTATCCTCATAAATCATATTTTTTATGTGCCAAGTCATATCTTTCCCGTATCCATATCCATGCTGTATTGTTCATAGTTTCTTTATTTAAATGAAAGACGTCTTCTAGTTTAACCTTCTATGAATAAATTATCTGCATTTTTTCCTTGGAAAAAGGAATTCAGCAAATTGCTTTGCATCTATGTGGTACAGGTGGAGTTGTCTCACCCCAATGCCGAACTTAGATTACTTGAGGTTTTCTATCACAAGATATACAAGGTATTCAATAATTATCCCAAAAGAGATTCTTAACATTAGCGTGTTGCCATGCATTTTTTGCATAAATATGGGTGTGTACAAGCATGTGCATGTGAGTCTGCTTGTGTCTGGCTGTGTGAGCATGCTAGGCATAGCTTCTGCTGGTTCTAGAGGTTAGTGCATGCATGTTTGGAAGTTTTATGTAAATTGTGATGCAAAGTGGAAGCTGTTGTTTTCTTTTTCCATCATAAATAATTCAGAAATAATCGATTAGTTCTAGTAATGATATGGATTTGTGTTTTAAGTTGCTTTGGAGTGAAATGTTCTTGTCTTAATTAGTGTTGATAATAGTTTTCTTGTATGTCACATTGCATGAGATAATATACTATTGCCACAAATTTGATGAGAAATCTTATTTCACTACATCTTTGAACTTCTTTATTGAATGCTTGCTCTCCTTTAGATTCTAAGCAAAGGTATCCCCAACTTGATCTTGTAGTTTGAAAATTGTTTTTGTGAACCTGGGTCTCAAATTTTCAGGTATCATTACCATAACCTTTAAAACGATTTTAAGTGAGGATTCTTATTTTCTGGTTGTGTCAATTTTGAAAATTGCGTCTTTTTTTTCTTTGGGGGTGTATTAAAATTTCCCTCCGTCTTTAGAGTAGTTTCTTTGCTTCAATTGCTGAGTTATCAAGACTACTTTATCTAGAGTAATTCAATGACTGGGTTTATACCTGATGGGTGAAAGAAAGAATTCCAAAATTTGCCACTTTGCTTTTTCTGTGGTTTTGTTCAGGAATTCCTACCTAAGACATTTGCTTTGTTAACTTTGTTGTCTTGTTTTTATTTTTCAGATCTTCCCTCTGAGTGATAAGATAGAGAATATAAATGATCAATATTGGACACTACGTGCAGAGGAGGTAAGTCTCTTTGTCCTAAAAGCATGTCCAAGAATATGTTTCTATGTGCCTGTCTTAAATATTGTAAATTACACCTTTTGAAATCCTAACTTAATGGATTGTTCCATTAATTTCTACGCATTAGCTTTATACTAAAGCAGAGCTATCTCAAACTTTGTTAAGTGCATGTTTTGCATTCATAGTAGGCTTGACAGTGCTTTGACTGGTTTGAGTATAATAGTGCTGAAGGTAGTGCCCGCTTAATAATCCAGTTAAATTTTAATGGCCTTTGATGGCCTACCCTATCATACATGCAACAAAACGTTTGACTGTCTAGTTTGGCTGATTGTTGTCTGACAAATTAATTGAAAATATCTTTAGTTTCCTTTTTGGAGCAACTGATTAAGTCAAAGTTTGAGTCAAAAGTTGGATTTTGAACACGTCCAAGGTTTGATCGGAGAATGATTCAAAATTCTCTCTTTGTTTTTCATTTTGTGAGATTTTTGTTTTTTCTTTTCTGTAGTTTCCCATTTTCTTATTTATGTTCCCATTCTATTTTGTTTTTTCATTTTTTATAGTGACCATAATAATCCAACAGTTTTGACTAATCCGGATCATATAATGAAATAATTGGTAGGATATACTATAAGTTTCTTTGTATTTTGTCAAACTATAATGCTTCTTGTTTTCCCTTTTCCCTTCTCCCCTTTCTTAGTCTGATCTTGATCTCTTACTGCTTTAGGTACCAGAAGAGGAGAAAAACCTTGGTCCTCATGATCGCTTGATTCATGTATATCATTTTATGAAAGACACAGCACAAAACCAACAGGCAAGTGCATGAATGCCCTCCCCCACCCCTCCCCTTGGGCAGACCAATATTGTTTTAAAATATTATTCGTTTTATAATGATGACAGTTTAAAACTTGGTGACATAAATGTTAGTTGTTTAATTGCTTATCTATTCATTTCTTGATCACCCTTAACATCAGGTACAGAATTTTGGGGAGCCATTTTTCCTTGTTATTCATGAGGATGAAACATTGGCTGAAGTCAAAGTGCGAATTCAGAAAAAATTGCAGGTTCCAGATGAAGAATTCACGAAGGTATGATCTCCACCTGATGCAAAAATCAATGGTGTTGTGTTATGCTTATCAAGATTGCATTGCTGATCTTTTTCAGCTTTCTATATTTGTTTTTCCTTCTTTCATTTCCCCTTTTGTTTTTTTAGGGATGTCAGCAAATTGAACAGTTGTACAGTTTTTTTTTTTTCCAGTTTTTCAAATATTCACTTTGTTGTGTTTTCTTAATTTTTTTTGTTATTCCTGCACAGTGGAGGTTTGCATTTTTATCACTGGGTCGTCCTGATTATCTTCAGGACTCGGATGTTGTGTCTACTCGTTTTCAGGTTCTCTCTCATGTACAAGTTTTGCACCTGTCAGTTTTCTTGAGATACTGCTGTTCTTTTTGACATTGATCTTTTGTTGTCATAGAGAAGGGATGTATATGGCGCCTGGGAACAGTATCTTGGACTGGAACACTCTGACAATGCCCCTAAGAGGTCATATACAGCAAATCAGGTGCGAATATTTCTAAACTGCTTTTCTTCTAGGTAGGGGGACTTTGGGTGCGGCCATATTGCCCCTCCACTTCATAATGATTATGGTTTTTTTAATGATGGTATTGATCATTGAATTGTAAGTGGTATGAACAATGGTCTTGTGAAAAATGTTTAAACTTAGAAGATTCTAAATTTAGGTATTGGAAAGTACAGATGCACTAAGTTTACAGATCTTGGCACTTTTGCATGACATGAAACCTTTTTGGCCTCAAGAAAAACGGTCTCCCCTTTCCCCCCACTTCAAACAAAAGAGCAGGAAAAATACTCCCATTCTTTAGAGTGATTGTGAGTTGTCATTAATGTATCATCCAAGCCAGTTACTGCATGTACTAGCTTATTTAGCTTGTTGTTAGTGGAAGGAAACTTGGGTTTATTGACTCTAGATAACCCCGTCAGCGGGGGGATATACATTTTCTGAGCTGGAACTTGCTTAAGAGCTTGTAAACATGGTTGATTGTATTACCAAATAAGTTGCTAGTAAGAAAGGAAACATGTGATTTGTTGTTAAATATGGTCTTTTTTCTTAATTGAATTTTGCAGAATCGTCATACATTTGAGAAGCCCGTAAAAATCTACAATTAGATAAAAAAGATGAGCGACAACAAACTTATCGGGTGAAATCCGTCCCAGATGGTATATGCAGGTTTGTGTAATAAGCGGAGAAGCCAGAAGGGGGCTCATTGTTGGGTACTGCAAGAGCTGGTACAGAGTAAAGAAGATGTGATTCTTTCAGCGGTAAGGGAGGATGTGAACCTAGAAACTATGCATGTTTTCCCGATAGTTTGGAACCGTTTGGCACCCGTGACTGGGGTGACTTAGGTAGCGTGTCATGTTAAATTCCGTTGTAATTGACTACACAAGATTTTGTTTTGGGTTTTGGTATGAAATTTTCTTTTGGGGAGGGGAGGGGGTAGTGGGGGATTGTATAGAAAGCATAGCGTGGTAGAGGATTTATATCTTTTTTGTTTCTCGTCTCAAAGATTCATAATTCGTGGTTTACTGGTTTTCCATAGATGCCCAAAGAGCACGAGGCGCCTGTATATGTTGTCACTGTTTCTGGGGCTCCATCTTGTGTAATATCATCATCATTATCATCATCATCATCATCATCTGCTCAACTTGTTTGTGTTCCTTCTTAATTAGTGAAAGGAAAAAGTATGGTACACAGTTTACCATCATCAAATTAGTATTTTCAGCCATTGTATTGTGAATGCTTTAAACTAAGTGCCCCATTGACATTGCGTTTGGAGCTTTGGAGTGAATTTTGATTAAAAATTTCTTTTGTATTGAATTTTCTATTCGGAAAAGCAGATATTGAAAAAGGGTTTTTGAACTATTTAAAAATTTTTTGAGGTTTTTATTTATTGTGTTTAAGTCTTGATATTTTTATTTTGAATCGAATAAGTTTTTATTATTTAAGTGTATAAACGGATTGTTCGGTGAAATCAGTTTTGGAAATCTTAAAATTTGAATAATAAAGAATGAAGAGTTTTGATTTGTTTTTTGAACTCAAAGCTCAATTATCTTCATTAGGTATTATTCAACTTAGTTCGGTTGAGAAAATTCAAATAAAAAATTAAATCAATTAAATCGTTCAAATTTAATTAACCGAAATAACAAAATGTCAAACTAATCGAATTGAAAAAATTAAACTCACTTTGATACGGTTTTATTATTTGATTTAGTTTGAATTTGTACAAGTGTTATTAGGATTGATAGTTTATTAATATTTTATTTATAAAAAATATCATTTATCATTTTATATCATCTGATGTTGATGAGGTATATTAATATATTTTAATGCATGACGATGTGACGTGATGTGATTGAAAATTTTCATTCCACGTCAGTGTCACGGAGATATTTAAATGATAAATGGTATTTTGATTAATAAGAATGTCAAAAATATTCATCTAAACAATGACGTTAAGCTACTCGAACTTCGGTGTCTCGGTGTCTATTTATATACACAAATACAATCGAAAGGGGTGAGACATACAAATACTCAGTGAGTGAAAACATATATCGGAAGTCAATGTGTTGGGATAGTGACAACACATATCCTCCAACATGCATACATAACAGTAGGCTAAACACATTCATAGTGAGACAAGTCAAACATCACTTGTCATTGGTACTCTATCATTAACATGGCAGCTGTACTACGCTACTTATGCATATACATTTCACATATAAGGGCAGGGTAGTCTATGCTTATCATACCTACCACATCTCATCATTAAGGCTGCTTATCGACCTTATCTATCATATGAATCTGCTGACCATATGGTCATCTACATATGTGATCAGCATACTTACTTCATAAGTGCTCACATTGACACTAAATCCTTAAGCTCCACAAAGCTTGCATTGCATCGTCTTTCATTTAACATACAAGTATGACTCTTACATTAAGCTTTCACATTTATCTTAATTCTTAAGCATAATATATCATAAATCACATGTTCACATCCTAAGGCATGCCATTACATAACCATAACATCATATCATAGAGTGGTCCTCCTTGGACATAACATAGTCATGTGCAGTAGCCAACCGATGGATAACATAGCATCGTCATATCACACTCAATGTTGAAGCAACTGATGAAGAACATAGTCATCATCTAGAGTATTCTCAACAGATGGAATCATGGTACTATAGGCGCGAATCACAAGCGAGACAATGCTAGCATCCTTGCAAGTGAAACATAACATTGATGTACAATAGGCAAGAATCACAAGTAGGATAAAACCGTTATCCTTACCAGCAACACATATGTATCCAAGCATATTTTAGTCAAATACTCAAGTGCTCCTACTATACCTTCTTAAATTATGCGTCCCAATAAATAATTTACAAAATAATATAAAAAGAAATAAAGTTTAAACCCTAAAGAAGAATAAACATTTGTAGATAAACATGGGGTAAATAAATTAATTTCATATATATGTAACAGAGTTAGATAAAAAAACATGCATATACTTAAAGGTTGTAGTTTTTTTATGGTGCAAATAAAATTATTAAATAGATATATGTGCTTAATGTAAAAATTGTGAATGGAAAATTAAATCTAACAATAAAGTTTTGAAAAAAATTGAATTTCTATGAAAATTTGTAACAAGTTAATAATTGGAAACTTTAGAATTATTCTTTCGTTAAATTTATAAAGGTCCATTAATGATTTATGAAATTGGATGGAAATGACTAAAAGTCCATTGCTCTTTTTATGTGTGGAAACTTGAAAATATTTAATCTTCCCAAGCTCCAAGGTAGTTAATTTGGTTGGATTAAATTCAACAAAAGGACTAATTAGGTTGCATTCGTAGAAAATAGTAGGATTAAATCAATATTATAAATCTCATTTTGCTAGCCTTTGGTCTTTTAAGGTTTCAAAGGAAACCCTAAAAAGATATTTTTTTTAACCCTTAAAGATAAAGTGTTTTCGAAAATAACCTTCTTTTCAATTCTAACTATTTTTAGCTTAGAGAAAGATTTTTATACAAAATTGTCTTTAATAAAACTTATTCATATTCAAGTTCCATACTCTTTGTTTTTAGCTTTCTTCTTTCTACTGATGTTACACGCCATGTTTTTTTTATTATATGAAATGGAACAAATAAAATAGCCTAAAAGCTACTTATCCAAATTAGAGGATTTTGGATAACATCTTTTTGTTCAAATCCACTTCTTCCTAGGAGTAACATTGACGTTGAATAATTTTTTAATACATCTTTATTTTCATATCAAATTTCTTTATATTTTAAACTCTATCTTTATCATGAAGGTATTTAACTCCAAGAGTTTATATCCTAGTAAAATATAAAGATAGAGAACAAGTTACAACCTGTGTTTACAAAATATTGTTATTACATATCATGTTTAAAAAAATATTATTAAAGTTAAAAAAATATTGTTACACGTTTTAACTCTAAGAGTTTATATTGTAGGGAAGTACAAAGGAGCAAGTTACATGTCATGTTTAATAAAGTTGTTGTTACAAAATGACACTACAAGCCTAAGCAGATGGTACACGCCAAAACTTTAGCAGCAGATGTTACATGCCAAGGTCAAAGCTTCAGCATCAGATGTTACACGCCAAGGCCAAGGCTTCAGCATATTACACACCAAGATAAAAGCTTTAACACCAGCTATTACACGCCAAAGCTCCCTTCTTCCTACTAATGTTACACATTAAGTCATGAATCATTTTGTTACATGCTAAGGTATGTTCTACCAGACTTGAATCACTGAAAAACTCAACATCAATAAAATCAAGAACTTGTTGTTACTCACCCTGCCATGCTTTTTGGTCTGTAGATGGACAATTAGATGACGAGAGATAAACAAAAATAGGATTTTATGAATATAAACCAATAAACCCCAAAATACGTTGTTACCTTTCATGTCATGCTATTTGCTTTGTAAATCGATAATGATATGGTGTGATGACAAGAGATAAATAAAGAGGGATGGTAATGATGGTAAAATTAGAGAGAGATGGATAACGAGAGAGAAAAATAGGGAGCACAGCAGATGAATGGCAAGAGAAAAAAATTGAGAGCATTTAATTTATCTGAAATGATTTTAAGGATACTTTTGTTATCTTATGACTAAAATTATGTAGAAACAATTAATTCTGAAATGGGCTTATTATGATGATCATTTCTCACAATTTTATCAACCCTAAAACTCTATTAAGAAAAAGAATTATGTAGGAGCTTGCATGTACCTGGATGTCTGTATGAGCATACTCGAATTGTTCTCATATTGCAAGAGAAAATTATGTAATTGTTGCTTTGAGTGCGTTTTTGTTCAAGATAGGTTTCAATACAAAACTATCATCTTCAACGTCATCTTTTTTATCATTTTCCATGACATTCTTAATAATTTACAAGTCATGAATAGTAATAATTCGTAATTCAATAATTAAGTAATATTCATAATATTTGGTAATTAATAAATTTTTAATTTATTGATTAGATAATATTTTGATTAATTAATAAATTTTCATGATTTTAAAGATATTAATTTACAGAGGTTTTCCTGTAGTTAGATTTGAAATAGGTTTTTCCTTTAAAATGAAAGAAATTGGGCAAAGGGAAGAAGAGACATGAAAGTTAGGGAGAAGAGAGTAGTAGGTAGGCTTGAACTTATCTCTACTACATGTAAAAATAAAAACAAAAAAAAAAGGTAAAATACTCCCACACCACTAAGCTTTAATTGAAATTACAAGCGAGTCTATTAGTTTTCAAAATAGATACTCTAATCTACAAGTGTAAACACGGGTAACAGACTAAAATGTCTTGTTTTCTTTATTAATTTAAAAATTTATTATTATGTTTTAAAAAAATAAAAAAAATAAAGAGCATCAATCTCTTTAAGAAAGGGGAGCACCAAGGGAGGGGAGCATCGTAGTTTTTTAAAATTAATATAAAATTAATAAAAATTATATAATAATAATTTTTAAAATTAATAAACGGTAAAATTATCATTTCAGTATTATCACATTATCAACCTAGTAAGGAGCTGATTGAAGATCAGGAGAAGAAATTGATGAATTCCAGGCTGAAA